GAGCTCTGCCTCCTGCGGGGATGAGCTCTAAAGCAGGATTTGCAGGCGAACCCGTCTAATCTGCGCAGGCTTTAGCCGTCGTTCTGGGTATCCCGAAGGTTTAAGTGGGAACACGGGTGTACCGGGGGATTTGCTAATCAAATTTTTCTCAGTCAGGGGAGGAAGGCCGTTTCCTAACGTGTTCCCGGTGCCCCTGGGCTGATAAATCTCTCTGAATTGCATCAGACCTAATGACAAGTTGAAAGAACGTACACTGGTTCCAGATGTGGAAGCGGTTGAAGAGGTCAGGTTTGGTTGTTTTTTTTTTTTTCCTTTTCTAAAGGACTTTGCCTTCTGCATCCCAAGGGAATGAATAAAACCAAACCAAACATCTGGCTAAATCAGCAGCAGCAGCACCTCAAACCAGCCTCGGGAGCTGGTTCGGGGCCAGGGTGACGTTCCCACCGGGGTTACTCACCCCAGCGTCCTGCTGCCGGACCCGCCGATGCCAGGTTTAGCGCACCGTGCTGTCCCTTGGCCCCACCTGCTCTCCCGGGGCTTCCCGCTCGGTTCCCTGCGGGAAGGCTCAGCTCGTGCCCGGTGCCACTCGTGGAGGAGCCGCTTTGCCGGATGAGGCCGTGGCGCCGGGTGCTGCGCCCAGAGGTGTGCACGGCCCCGGACCCACCAGCTGCGCAGAACTGCTGCATCGCTGCAGCAGAGCCCAGGCTGCTCCTGGCCCTCCCTTCCAGACACCGATGAGTTTATTAAGGGATTAAAAGTTAGTTTCCCCTCCTTATTGAATGCTCTGATTTATGCATGCGTTTAAGTCAATCCCATTTCCTGCATTTTATCCCTTCTCCCCGAGGCTTTCAGGCTTTGCTGTGTTAGACATTTGTTATAATCACATTGTTTTGAGGCAAGCGAGACACCGTGGGTGGTTTAAGTGATTTGAATAAATGAGCTGCATTACTTAGGCACTTCTCCCAGGTGCTAATTGCCCCTCCTGAGCTGTAGGTGCCTGTACTTGAACAAGTTTGTGCTGCCTCCCAGTGAAATATTAACAAGCGTGCTTGCTAATGAAGATGCTGTGCGGAGATCAGGTCCAAGCCCCCGCCTGGCCTGGAGCTGCGTCTGGCAGAGGAGGTGCCTGTGGCCTGCCTGGTGGGCTGCGGTGCCCGGAGTGGGGGATTTCAGGTGCTGCTAGCAGGCAGTTGCTGGATGGGCTACATAAGCAGCTTATTTTGTCATTTTAATTTTTTAATCCCATGCATTTGGTCACGCTCTCTTATTAGTAAGCATTAGCTCTCTAAGTCCCATTAGCTCTGCTGAGAGCTGGGGCTTTGCTTGTGGGGACAGCGGTGGAGGAGCCAACAGGGGTCTGGGGGCCTGATCCTGCAGCCGGTGATGCCCCATCACGGACCCACCCAGGCTGTGGGTCTCATCCTGGCCCCGCAGGATCGGAGCCATCATGGCTCGGTGCTTTCCTCCGCTGCACCCCTGGCCCCCTTCCCAAGCCCCGGGCATCCCCAGCCGGGCTCCCTCCAGAGCCGATGCAAGCCCGAGGCTGGCCCCGTTTGGCCTCTCGCTGCTTTATTAAGGCAACTATATTCTTGTATGCAAATGCATACGTTACATTCAAACCCATTTCTGTCTCCTTCAGGTTTTCCCTTTAACCCCATGGCCATCCCCAGGGCTGTACTTTGTTAGAGAGTCTCGAGCTTTGGATTAAAAATTAGTTGACTGCTTCTCTTTAATAAAATCATTCCTGCCCTCTTTAAATAGCACAATATGTCACAGAAAGCCGGTGGGTCCATTCATGAAAATGAGGCAGCTCAGAGAGGAAAAAGAGGAGGAAAAAGAAAAAGTAAGCCCACACATCTCCCCAAACCCCTTCTGCCTAATCCAACTGAATTAGAGGATTTCGAAGTGGATTTAAAACTAAATCTTGATTAGGGAGAATTTCTCTCCAAGAGCTGCTGCACGGTAGTATTAATGGGAAGTGATCGTGGACAGAGGAAATAGGACAGAAATAACCGAGGGTAGCACATACGCACTCACGTCTGTGCATGAACTGAAAGAATCGGAGAATTTCTCAAGAGGAAAAGGGAGAAATTAAGCATCGCCATAACAAGACTGGGCACCACGGAGCTGGCCGGAGAAGCGGGGAGCGGCCAGATCTCTGCTGCACCCTTTATTCTGGTGGAGGGTTTTGCAGGTGAAAAGCAAGCGGCTTGCACGGCCGGGGGAAGAGCCGGGAGGAGAGGCGGTCTCTGCCCGCTCCCCCAGACACCGGTGTTCGTCCTCCGAGCCCCGGGCGGGCTCTGGGAGCCGACCCCCATGCTCTCAGGACACATGCCTGGAGGTGGCCATGGGATCCTCTCTCTGATGACCATGGTGTTTGTCCTCCCAGAGGGTAAGTGCTGCTGTCCCCGAGGTGCGGCGTGTACCCCGTGCTTTGCATCCCCCTTAAGCCCTGGTTGTTAAGGTGTGATATATCCTCGGGATGAATTTGGGGGCATTCCCGTCCCAAGCGATGTAGCTGCGTGTTGCCGTGTGTTGGTGGTTTTAGGACAGAGCTAATGTCATCGCGTTTTGTACAAAACAAGGGCATGTGGGCAAGGAGCGTGGGGCCAGGAGCTGGGGTCCCCTCGGCTCCCCTTCCCCGGTCCTGCCGGGGCAGGGACTCTCCTTGCCGTGCCCAGCTGTGCCAGGGTGCTCACCCACCTCCCGAAAACCCCATGGGAGCAGACGAGGCTGGGCTCGGGAAGGGCTCCAGGTTGGCATTCAGAGGTGGGGAAAGGTAACGGCAACAGTAAGTGCAACCTGATTTTTGTTGCTGTGATTAATCAACACAGAAAACAGATACTGCGTTTGCCTTAAACTCCGTGGATGATGTGAATGAATATCCTTTGAAGGCTTTTTTGTTTTAAAGAAACCTGAGAAATGACTTA